GACCATAAACACTTCATTTTGTTATCAGATGATTTCACTCTTGCGTCATACTTGTTAGCTTTTTCCTTAACTAATAATCTGTCATATTCTTTCTTTGTGGCTCTGTAAATATCTTTATATTGATCGTTATATCTTGATAGCATTAGTAGTATGTCTAATCTCTGTTTGCAGTTCTGTTTATTTCCTATTTGAATATTGATGTTTCTTTCTTGTTTTATACACAGATTTAAGTGGAAAGTGTTGATCAAAAATGCGGTGAAAGGTATTGCCAAAAATTTTCCATGATTCATTGACATCAGTGTCTGGGTGTATTCTGATATATCTTTAATTGCTTCCTTTAGGTAAGTGCAAATTGTTTTTATTTGCCTCTCTGAAAGTTATCTTTTAGAGATGTGTTGATAACCTATTGCTTTTTTAATATGATTGTAACATTGCTGAGCAGTGTGGTCTGATATATGGTTGATTAGCACACAAGCTTCATAATCTTCCTTATTTGTAAAGATGTTGTCAATACAACTACCTCCAGTATTTGTAATTCTAGTATTTTCAAAAATTTGTTCTTATTACAATTAAAGAACACATTATGGACAGAACATCTAGTGCATTGCTGCTTTCTTCACTCGAAAATTTATATATATATCTATCTCTGCTAGAAATATGGTTTTATTTTCAGTTGTTATGTTTAACAGTTATATATTGTGTCTATTTTTTCCAGAAAACACATCCATATTTCCACTTGGAGGCCTATAAATTGAGGCAATTATAAATTTTTCATCTCCAATTTTACAGTCCATTACTGCACATTCAAATATACCTTGATCTGATAGTTTTTGAAGAGATTTTCTTTCAAAGCTTGTAATATCCTTCCTCACATATACGGCAGCACCACCGTGTTGACCATTCCCTCTGCAGAAAGATGCAACCAAATTAAAATTGCATATGCCCAATTCCTGAAGTTGATCCAAACTTTTCCAGTGTTCTGTTATGCACAGAAATACACAATCACTGTTCTCTGCTAATGCACTCTCAATTTTGTCTATACTGTTTCCTAATGATTGTACATTTGATGTATGATACTAAATTTTTGGTTTTGGTGAATTACTGAGAATCTGTTATTACATGTAGTATTTATCCCTGTTTCTAGTAGAGGTGTATTCTTCTTTATAAAAAAGAATTTTGATTATCCTATTTTTCGGCCTCGAAAGTCATATCGTTAAACCTACATTTTAGGGAAAAAACTAGGGTCATACATTATGGTTTTCTTTTCATAGGGGGCGGTGACCACAAAACATTTGTTTTGGGTTTCTGTTGTTGGTAATTCTTTAACATCAACATTTAATTCATTAAAGCCTGGTTTTGCTCTTATATAGTTATAAATCTTTTCAATAGTGACAGCCGTCTGTATACGATATAGGTATAGCCAAACTTTTCTACCGACTCCGTCAAAGCCATTGGAATCGTCTTCATTCGTGCCTAGTTGTTTAGTGATACTTCTGGTGTTGTTCCTTGGTTGAATTTTCCTATTTTTCCTTTTATGCTGCATTTCCCACTTTCCATCATGATCCTCATTAGCCAGATTAACTATATTGTCCATTTTAACATTAGCTATGGCCTTCTTTACGTCTTGAGTAGATATTTGTTTACTATCGTTGACATTTGGATTTTTGGTTATGTTAACATCTACATCTCCGTTCTCTTCTTGGTTGGCTGTTTGTAGTTCAGCAGTAACGGCCTGCTCACGGTGATGTTCTGCCATTACTTTTAGCGATGAAGATATAGGTGCTTCTTGCCCGATAAATCGAATATTTTTTGCACTTGTTGGGTTATTTACCTTTTTTGCTCTCGGTTGATCTCTTATCGTGGAGAAAAATTATTTAAGGTGACCTCTAAATTGCTTATCTTTTCTCTTATTAAATATTATTTTCTTCCAGGATATTTATTTTTATCCCTAGCCTTTATATTTGAACAATAACGCTTCTCTTGATGCCCATTCGAATTCACTTTTATTAGATTGACCCGTCTCTGCTGGAGATTCATGAATACAGGTTGGGTTTTTTTGTTGATTCGCCTGTTTCAAACAGCTGGGGTGGAAAATCCCAGAGCACTTCACACAAACTAATTTAGTTGTTGCTACAATTTTTTTGCAGTGAATACATACGTATTCCTTATTTTTAATTGGGAGCTCGTGCGAGCGACTTGCACTAGCCGCCATCTTGCCTGAAAAATATATTCGTTCTGTTATTGGGGTATCTGATACATCGAGGCTGTTATACTGAGGTAATGTGTTTAGTGCATCTATATTGGGGTTGTTTTCTTGGTTAAGTAATAGGTAATTAGGTAATATGGCTGTAATGCTCTTTCCAGCGGTTTCTAATTTGCTCTTCCTCTTTTAGAAGTTCGCCATTTTGTGCCATGATTGGGCAGCTTACCTTCTTAGTTGGGCCGTATACTTCTTTAACAGCCTCAAAGAATTTACCATAATCGTGATGCGTGGCGTACTCTTGAATCTGATTAGCCTTTTGTGACCACCAATCATCCTTTACTTGGCGCAGTTTTCTTCGAAGCGTGTTGTTGGCTGCTTTAAAGTTGTCTGCCAGCCTTGGATTGTGTGGATTTGCAGTGACTGCTTGATGTGCTCTGTGCTTTTGTTCCAAGAAGGTCTGTAGACCTGTGTCTGTGTCCTGTTAGAAACCCCGTGACAATCCGAAGATTGATTACTTACTAATGAAAATATTTGATTTTTCTCGGTTGTAAGTTCTTGAAGATATTACTTGAGAGTCTAAACGCCTCTTTAAGAACTTAAGTACCTTATCTTTCGATAAAAATTTGTAGGGTTCTATTATTAATCAAATTTTGAAAAATGTTAATACTTTTATAGGGGTCCGGAGAAGTAAACAATTCTAAAATTAAATTGAATAAGACACTTGATTCCAAATCAAACAGAAATTAAAATTTTAACCGCTTTGCGAGATAGATTATCTGTTTGACACACACACGCTTTCTGGCAATTAGTTGTAATGTTTTTGTTTATCTAGAACCGATAAAAGACGTAAAAACTTCGCGGGTATATTTTTAGCAACATTTAGGAAAAATAATATTATTTTTAGTAGAGATGTGTGGTTGAAACCACCAGAAATAAATATTTTTTCACGAAATTGGCATAAAGTCAATAAACTGGAAAACAATTCGGAATATTTTTTCGTAAAGTTACATAATTTTGGTTTCGTTGGGGATGCAAACTTAAAAACAAGTACATAATATGTGCAATATGAAAATACAAAAGTTAATATACAGGGTGGTCTGAACTGTATTCCGGAAATTTCGGTAGCATATTCTGCAGATAAAAATAAGCAAAAAAGTTCGTATAAATGTATGTCCTAAAATGCTTAGTTTCGGAGATACAGGGTGTAGAAGTTTCTTTTTTATTTCAATTTTTTCCAAATAATTTCTGAAGTAACGTCAATATTGGGATGAAAATTGGTATTTGAGAGTTTTTTGACATGAGAAATTTGATTTTGATGTCAATATGACTCTTATTTGTAGGGGGCGCCACTTACATGTGTTTTAACTGTTTTAAGAGTAATAACTTTTTGTCCGTACCTGTATAAAACTACTGAGTAAAAAAATATACATTTACGACGTTTTTACATAAAAAATGTCTCTTGGTAAAAATCGCTACGAGCAACCGTTCTCAAGATATTTAGAATGAAAATAGTCAATACATGTCATTATTGACAAAAAATAAACATGCTGAGTACAGTACGTCTGTCCGTTCTGTAGCTACGGGGTATCCGTGAGAGGGGAAACGATATTCTCTCGATGTTTTTCGAAAAAATCTAGACGACGCGTCCCATCAATAAAAATTCGACAAATTTGCAAGTAGCCAATAAAATGAGTGGGCGGAGCGATTTGCGGTGACGTACTCGCCAAGTCGACGTATAAAATATATTGCTGTTTATTTAAATGTTTTTTGTCCGCATTCCTTTCATAGACACAGATCCAGCAGACGTACTGTATCTGAGTAGGTATAATGGATAGTTATTTGAGTGAAATAATAGATTTGGGAACTTTTAATTTTTTTAAATTAAATCATAAATTTTTCTTCGAAAAAATGATGATAAAACTAGATAGTTTCTGTTAAACTTTTGGCCCAAAAAATTTTAAATTTATGATTTCAGTCTAATAACTATTTAGTCAACATGTTTAATTTCTGTCAATGATGACAGGTATTGATAATTTCGATTCCAAATATTTCGAGAACATTACCCGTAGTAATTTTTACAAAGAGACATTTTTTACGTAAAAAACGTCGTAAATGTATATTTTTATACTCAGTAGTTTTATACAGATATGGACGAAAAGTTATTACTCTTCATACAAGTTAAAAAATATGTAGGTGGCGCCCTCTACAAGTAGTAATCTAATTTCTCATGTCAAAAAACTCCCAGACACCAAAATTCATCCAAATATTGACGTTACTTCATAAATTATCTGGAAAAAATCACATCCTATATCTCCGAAACTAAGCATTTTAGGACATACATTTATACAAACTTTTTTACCTATTTTTATCTACAGAATATGCTGCCGAAGTTTCCGGAATACAGTTCGGACCACCCTGTATAATCTATTTGATTTTGTACAAACTCGACAAAACAACCATCGAGTCAAAAAAAATTTCGACAGACTACGTCAAAAAATGACAGTAAATGCAATTTATTTTAGAATTAAAATGACAGACACAACTATCAGTGTCATATATCCCCTCATTGGACAGACTATATGTATAGAGTAGTATCAATGAAATCGTAATATAATCGTAAAAAATATTAAGGAATGTGTTAAATTCATGCTTTCTCTGTTTAATTCATTTACATACCATTTTTGACAGTTTTGCGGATTTTTTGGGCTTTTCCGAGCTTATTTTATGTTATTGATTTTCAAGTTACCTTAAAATCGTAGCATTAGTAATAAATTATGCATTTTTTAATTATTTTAAGGAACACCTGCTGAAGTTTCTTTGATCCGAATGACGGCTGATGGAAGGCTGCCATTGAACGAAAGAAGAAATTACAAGAATGTTTTTGATGCTATATTTAGGATATATCGGGAAGAAGGTAAATATAATACATACTAACTTCAAAAACCTTAATAAATCCATTTTAAACGCGAAGGGACAACCGAAACCACCGTTCATACTTCTACGTACTTGTCTTAAGAGTCTATTAACGCTGTACTGTTCGGGTTCTCTATTAAAACAGACCAATTTCGACCACCCTGTACTTTCGGGCCGCTCTCAGGGGTCGGGTAAAGCGGACGTGTGGCCGAAGGAAATATATATTATATTCCAGAAATCTGCCTAAGGCTTAGCCCGATCCCGTAAGGTTGGCAGAGCTTCAGCATTTGCCATAAAATAGCGAGCAATTTGTTACAAAACCATATAAATTATATATCACTGTAATCACAAAACTCCAATCTATTTCCGTATTGTAACGGAATTTTAAATTATGTCTTTATTTTCGAGAAAATTTAGTCTAAACATAAGGAATATTTTGTTGATGTTTGACCATCAAAATCTTAAAAATAAAGAAGTTGTCTAAAAATGTGCTACAATACGGATTTAGTATAATCCTTTATCTTTAATTTCCTTCTTCATTTGTGTAAAAAATACCTAGCCAGTTTTACATAAAACGTTAAATGCCGAACGCTTATTTTGCTACTTTTTCGGACTAGTGGACTGCTCACAAATACACGTCGCATCACTACATATTTCTAAGCCGTTAACACGTTTCGTTACAACTAGTTCGTGTGTCAGGGCCGTAACTATACAGAAATAAACTAAAATTCGTAAAATAAATGGCAAATAATAATTATTATTTTTACACACACCACTGGCACTAGCAGTAGATTGTGTTTGTCGCCGAATATATGCCCCGGCCCGTCCACGATTCAATCCCAGCATATCTTTTATCTCCGTCTCTTCAACGCTAACCGCGCCGATCTCGACTATCTCTTTCTCACAGGATTGATTGTTGAACGGGCCGGGAATCCACGAGCTTGCGACGTTACTAATTGACATCTTGATAGAAACTGCAGACCTGCCGCTTCTTTTGCGTGTTTTTAATCAGCGACGCAAATCGAAAAAAAAAGCTTCAAACGGTAAAATCGCAAGAAGCGCTTGACACGCAAAAAACGCTATCTGTGTGGCCGTGGACTTAGGCTAAAGATTGCGGTATTTGATCCATGAACGCTGGCATTCGTTTACGTAGATTCATATTCATTAGAACTAATGTTAGTGTTATTGTTAAGATCGCAGTTATGAACTAATCTTAACCTCTAAGTTTATATGGTTTTAAAGAATAACCATTATTAGAAGTATACATAAATCAAGTTATATTGTTATATTAGGCATTTTAACGCTATGGAGAGGTGCCGTACCGACGATGGGTCGAGCCATGGTGGTGAACGCCGCCCAGCTAGCCAGCTACTCTCAGGCCAAACAGTATCTAGTCAAGACAGGGTATTTTCACGAAGGCCTATTCCTTCACTTTGTCGCATCGATGATTTCTGGCCTGGTGACGACGGCGGCCAGCATGCCCGTCGATATAGCCAAAACCAGGTAAAAACACTTGTTTTAGGATGTTCTCATATGTACTACTCCATTCCAGTGGAACTCGATTGTTCTCGAACATTCGAATGAATCATTACGGTGCCTATTCTTTAATGCGATATTAAGGTCATATCAATATGGGGGCGGGACATTTTTAGTTAGGTTATGCTGAGTCCACACGGGTCCGCAACAATACCATATCGGCAATAGACTGTCTTGGGTCGATATTTACATATCTAGGAGTGCTATAACAAACTTAACCACTGAATCCGACGCTATATTTCATGCGTTTCAGAAAGACTAGTTCTATATTTGTCCCGTACATCTTATTGTACTGAGTGTATTGATTGTACTCTTCGTACCCACGAATCGGCTCTACAAGCCAAGTCTTGCCGATCCTGTATAAGTATAGTGTTGTAAAATGATCGAGAATTTATTTTTGGAGAATATTCTACGAGAACGAAAGTATTAAATAGGTTTGGTGTGTAGGTGTTTATTTCAATAAAAAATCAGAAAAACTCTTTCAAAATAAAAAAAACAACTACAATACAAAAGGAATAAAAAACAGAGTAATCAGCTCAACTTAATATTGTCTAAATAAACTATTAATTCTGTACTACTACTTGGAGGAGCACCATTAAGGTTTCTAAAATCGAATTAAGTTTTGTCCTTTGGCTTTATCATTACTCAACATGATATGGTTTAAAACAGAGTATAAAAGTGTTGTAAACATTTTTTTGACTTTGTATTTACAATGTTCATTAAAACCATAAAAATTTGTTTTAAACAATAAGAAAACATGTTTTGTTTAAAAATATTTTTTTCAGCGCTGCTTGAAACTATTTAAAACTGTTAACAATTTTTAAGTTTATTTTAGAATTTTTAATAGATCTTAGATATAGTAAATTTTTCAAAAATATTTCTCTTCCGATTACAATCTGGCAACAATGCTGTCTACAATCAACGCACGTGCTCGATGACATGCAACGGTTTTTATTTTGTACGACGTATATTTATTCCTTCTCGATTGTGCTCATACATGCTCCTATAATGGAACATTACCCCACAATCATCTTGAAAGCGAACCAATGTTGGCAAGATTAGCAAATTCAGTAAGACCAAATAAGTATCAATGTGTCCCCGAAAAACTTTTCAATTAAAAAAATTTATAATGCATTACCATCTTCCATAGAATAGACCCTTGTAGCCGCCAGGAGGGCCCCACTCTTAGAAATATACAAACTCTCCAGTAGAAGCTCTAAATAATACGGGACGGAAAATTGTCACAAAAAATTTCATTCAGAGCATGATTTTTATAACATCGATGATTATTTTGTGTTTGTAAATCCACAAACAATACTTCTACTACAAGTGTAGGTACTTATTATTGTTTGTTATTTAAATATTTACATTCGTCTTTATACATTTTAATCTGTTGATTTGTTCCAATGTTTTTTTCTTCTGTTTAATACGGAGTGCTTTAACAAAACAATCATTATTCAGAAGCTACAAACCCATCGATGAAAATATGCATGAAAATTTACTTCCTAACACACAAGGTTGGTACAATCACAGATTATACAGATTATAAACTTATCGTCAAAAGCATTGTTTTTGTGGTTCCAATTTTCGGAGTCACGCATTAGTTAGGTGACTAGTTTGCGCACATAGCACGCCCACTTATGGCCTCTAAAATTGTGCACAGCGCCATTGTGCATTGTCCACAGCTGTTTAAACACGAGTTTTTTTTGCACACAGGAAATTTTACTCGTTTGCTCATCGTCATAAAAAACAATTTTCGTACCACGAATTAGGGACAAGATTTTTATCTGTATACATACCGGGTGTTGCATCGTCGGACGGGACATAGGAAATCCCATGTAAATTTTAATGGGGTCAATTATTGGCTTCCCTAATTATTTTAGAGAATAATTCTATTTAGGTTTATTGAAGAGCACTAAAACCCACATTCGAAAGAATAACTTTAGATATATTTGATTAGCTCGTTTACAAGTTATCGCCGATTTCTTTTTAAATATTTCTCCTTTCTTATGGCCCTGTATTTACTTATGAGCACCAGTCAAGATAAAAGATAACTGTCAAATGAAGTTGTCATTTCATAAATTTATCTAATTAGTGTTTTATTATTATTGAAAACTCATTCCTACATCGGAAATCTTAAAGATGTATTTATAAATACAAATTAATATGAATTAAAGTAAAATAAGGTAACCAATTACAAGGTTAATTATAGTATTATTACAATATTCAATAACTTATTATTAATTTAGGTACTATTAAATTGTTAGAACATTAGGATTTAAGAAGATGTTCAAATATTCCTCCATCGACTGCTAGACAATAACCCAGGCGATCATAAAATTCTCTTCTTACATTCGCTAGTTGGTAAACTGAAATTCTATTGCATTCGGTAGAAATAGCATTTTTTAACTCGTCTAGATTTGGGTATTTTTATCCTTGTATATCCTGTTTTTAAATGGCCCCAGAGAAAGAAATCATTTGGCGAAATATCAGGAGACCTTGCTGGCCAATTTACTGTATGATTTAGGCCAATAACGTTTCCGTTAAAACTATTGTCTAAATATTCTCGAACAGCCAGGGTACTATGTACCGGGCAGCCATCCATTTGGTACCAAACTTCCTGATTTTCCCTGGCGGCATCATGTAAAGCAGGTAAAATACGATTTTCGAGTAGTTCCAAATAATATTCTGCATTTAAATTTCGCGTAAGAAATAATGGCCCGATAATATTGTGTCCCAATATCCCTGCCCAAATATTTACTTTCTGTAGATAATGCGTCCTTGTTTCGACAAACCTGTGTTGGTTTTCTTTGTTCCAATATCAATAATTTTGAACATTGGGTTCATTATTTTGAGGTAAACGTGCATTCGCCAGTGAAATATATGTTTTTTTAAAAATTCCCTATCCGTGTTTGCTCTTTCCATCATATCAAAACAAAACGCCTGCCGCCGTATTTCGTTCCCAACTCGTAGCTCTTGGTGCTTTTCATATTTGAAGGAATAGTATATATGTCGTTTCAAAATTCGAAACACTGTAGTGTGATCTATTCCTATTTCATCCTCAAGTTTCCTTGTGCTGATCTTTCCATCGTTCTCTTCCACGCACAATAAAACTTCGGATAAAAACGGATACCAAGTTGGTATCATTTCTTGCATCTTCTCCTTGTTCCTGCATTGCTTCACATCTGCAGTTATTTATTAGGGTACCTTTGGTCTCAAATCTCTGGATATTCCTTGCGATTGTAGATTTTCCAGGTATCGGTCTATTCGTATACAGAGCAGCAAACATGTCCGACACTTTTTGATAACTATTTCCTTGATAATACCATTTAATCATCAATACTTTTTCTTCGGTAGTGTAATTCATGGCTAATATTTTCGATGTAGGTATGAGTTTTTAATAATAATAACAAAGCACTAAATAGATAAATTTCTGAAATGACAACTTCATTTGACAGTTATCTTTTTACCTTGACTGGTGTTCATAAGTAAATACAGGGCCATAAGAAAGGAGAAATATTTAAAAAGAAATCGGCGATAACTCGTAAACGGGCTAATCAAAAATATCTAAAGTCATTCTTTTGAATGTGGGTTTTAGTGCTCTTCAATAAACCTAAATAGAATTATTCTCTAAAATAATTAGGGAAGCCAATAATTGACCCCATTAAAATTTACATGGGATTTCCTATGTCCCGCTCGACGATGCAACACCCTGTATAGTATACCTAACCTGTTATACAATATCAAGTTTATTGTAGTGATTTTCCCGTCTAACTCGAATGGGGTAGCTCCGGCAACACTGCCGCTATCACATTTCCTCCCGCTAGGTGGCGCATGGCTCGCGCCTCACGGCCGTCATTTAAAGCCGAGTGTCACAGCCTTGAATTTTCCAACGCGCCCAAAGAAGTTTCACTTCAAAAAGGAGTGTTTCAACTACGATTATTTATAACTAGTAAATTCGATCATCACCAATTTAATTTCATCTAACTTAAGATAATCTCATTTCAGAATCCAAAATATGAAAACCATCGACGGCAAGCCAGAATTCTCGGGACCATTCGACGTTTTAGGTAAGATATTGAAGAACGAGGGGGTGTTCGCTTTATGGAAGGGCTTCTTCCCCTACTACTTCCGTCTTGGTCCACACACCGTGCTGACGTTCATCTTTTTGGAACAAATGAACGGCGCGTACAACAAGCACGTGCTCAAACAGGAGAGCCAAGCCGCACTCTAATCCGTCTATTGATTCAGGGATTGTTTTTTTCTTAGGAAATGAAACAAGGTACAATTCGGTGGAATTAAATCAATTCTATGCTCTATATGTTTCTATCAATCAACAATATTTTAGAAAAATATTGATACAATTTTACAAAAATATTGATACAATTTTACAAAAATATTGTACTGTTTTACAAAACTTGTTATCAAAAGTTTTTTTCTAATTTTGTTCTACTACTGTTCCCGGATAGTCTTTACAAGAGGAGAAACTTTTTTATTATTGGCATTTTGAGAAAAAATCATTCTTCATAAAAATTTTTGCTTCTTTGAAATTGCTAATCCCGTTTATACTTTTCCAAATTTCTATACCGTTTTAGAGAAAATTAGAAAAAACATAAAAATATTGTAGAATTTTTATGTTATGAAGTCCTAAATCCTAATTCAAAGTCCTAAAAATCAAAACGCCTTTCTATGGTAATATAATTTCGTTTTAATTCTTTGATAGATTATTGTGGATAGAATTTTAATTAACTTCATTTTTCTTGTTTGAAAATGTTAAAGAAGCACAAAATGTATTTAGTTCAATGCATAGATAAATGAATCAAGTTTAGATTGGAAAGTGCCCATAAGGGCAATGTAAACACTATCTGGCGCTATTCTTGCAACGGTCGCGACCCAAAGCTTTTGAAAATTTCAGAGCGGTTCAGCTTTTTCTGGAATTATATGACCAAATATTGTTTATTCAAATTTATTATTATTTTCTTTTAATTTTATAAATAAAATACGGTGTTTTGCTTACAAGAAACTTTATTTTATAGGACATGTATGAAATACCTATAGGACATGTATGAAATACCTATGAAACATTAGAAACCGACGGCGACGTTATGCCACGATCCACGATGGTTTTTGCAGTTCACAGCACAGCTTTTTAAGTTTTTAATGCCACTTTTTCACAATTATCACGGGTTTGAGTAAATAAAATATAAATTAAACTCACAAGATAACAATAATTACTTTGAAAATTGACGCTTTAAACACTTTTCGGTATGTTTTCAATGAGAGAGGTTTAAATATTGAAAGATTTTGTAATTTTTGAAGATTCTGACTTTGACAAGAGAAAATTATTTCTGTTTTTGTTGCGGTTGTCCTTAGCAACCGCTATAGCAGCGCCAGATCGCGTACAATGGTCGCTACACAAAACAATTTCGCGATCCAAAATTTTGACGGCCATTCCAATCTAAATTTATTTCTTTTATCTATGGTTCAATGCTACGGAAGGGTGATAGTAGCAGAACATGCGATACTTTAACAACAGCAAAAAATATGACGTTAATCAAAATTAATAATAACCATCAGAGAATGAAATCGAAATTATATTACCATAGACGCCTTTTTATTTTTAGGACTTTCTCAAAATGTGAATAATAAAAAAAAATTACCTCTTGTAAAGACAATCCGGGGACATACTGTATGTATAACTAATATACACGGTGGTCCGAATTGTATTCGGGAAACTTCGGCAGAATATTCTGCAGATAAAAATAAGTAAAAAAGTTGTTATAAATTTGTCCTACAATGCTTTGTTTTTGAGATACAGGGTGTAGAAGTTTTTTTTTAATTTTTTCTAAATAATTTCTGAATTAGCTTCCATATTTAGATGAAAATTGGTGCCTGGGAGTTTTTTGAGAAGAACTTGATTTGGACGTCCTACCTATAAGGGGCGCGTCTTTAATCGATCATGTCAATTTCAATTTTTGTCCATGATGACATGTATTGATTATTTTGATTCAAAATATCTTGAGAACCGTTACTTGTAGCGATTTTTACCATTTTTACGTAAAAAATGACGGAAATGCATAATTTTTCACTCAATAGGTTTTATACAGGTACAGACGAGTAGATATTATTTTTCAAACTAGTGTCAAAAAATATGTAGATGGCACCCCCTACAAATGGGAGTCATAATAAGATCGAAATAAAATTTTCCTCTCAAAAAACTACCAGACACCAATTTTCATCCAAATGTTGATATTAGTTCAAAAATTATTTTTAAATAATCGAAATAAAAATTAAACTTTTTAGGTGATACATTATTTATACAAACTTTTTTACTTATTTTTATTTGCACAATATGCGGCACAAGTTTCCCGAATACAATTCGGACCACCCTGTAAATACATTTAAAGTATAAAGTCTATCCAGCGAGGGGATCCCTGACAGTGACAGTTATGTCTGTCATTTTAATTCATAGACATTGTATTGATATTTTTTTCCAAAATTTTTGGGATGTCATCTGTCAAAATATTCCTTAACTCGCTGGCCAGTCAGAGGCAGTGTTGTGTCTGTCATTTTAATTCCTAGGCAAATTAATTGTATTTTCTGTAATTTTTTGGACAGACTACCATAAAATAGATTTAAACTGCATTAATATAAACGATATAGAGCGTGTTATTCTATACTTCTCTGTAGGTAAGGTTTAAATAGAAAATTATTTTTATATAATACAGAGGCTTGTTGCACTTATTAACTCTCTATTGATTTAACTTCCGATGTCTAGGAATTGTAGGTATTTCTTGTTAAAAAAAAATAAATTGGATTCGAGATATTTTAAGGACAACGATATACCGTATAATCGAAAAAAACGGCGTCTAGTTGGCTGGGGGCTGGAAAATGACGATCGCTCACATTTCTCATATAATTTTGCATATAAAATGACAGCTATCTTCATTTCATAGCCATCACTGACGCCGTTTTTTTTTCGATCATACGGTACTTAAGATATAATTGATAATTGTTATGTTATATTTTAATTATATTTTTACATATACATTACATTATAAATTTACACTCATTAAAATGATATTAATTGTATAATTTTATTATTGGCACTGTGATTGATCATTGTAAACTTTGTAAAATTCTATTATTTTGTTGTTATAATATAGTTATTAAAATGAACGTTGTGTGTTTTATTCTAAAAAATATTTCATTTTTAGTGTGTATTTACATGCATGCGTAATGCGTCGTCCGTTGTTCTTTCACTCCAATCATATTTAAATATAAAAGCTGTAATTTTTGAAATAAACCAATAAAATTGCATAAATTCAACGACTGACGACGCATGACGGATACATTTATATGTTACAGTAAAAGTCGGAAATTCAGTGATTGTTACCATTCACTAGGAAATGCTAGCAATTACGTATTGGACCAGTAAATGTGGTATTTTAAAGAGATTTGTCGACTTTTTCTAGTAATTTCTGACATTCACTAGAGAAAGTAACATTTACTAAAGATTGCCAGTAAAAGTTATTCTACTGTACAGGGCGAGTGTGGTAAGGAAAAAGATTGATGGAAAGAACAATAAAACTTTTAAGAATATTGATTATCCTTATATTGCCTATAATTCAGCATATCGTTATTTATCCTTATATTTTACATGTGGCAACCGCGCTAATTGAATCTTTCAAACTCACTGCTATCGTCCAGGGAATGCTAGCATTCACTAGTAATAGTTGTTTTCAAAAATAGCTGTTGAACTTTTATTGGCGTCGTCTTAGCAAATCAGCGAATGTGAGCTTTTACTAGTAATTGTTAACAATCACTGATTTCCAACTTTTACTGTAACATATACACACGTGTCACGTATTCATCAAATTTGATAGATCGTTAAAAAATATGATCTGGCAAAGGAAACAATCAAATGATGCAATCAAAAAATAAGATGGGGGGTATCACAACAGAACTCTACAGTCTTGCCAAACGGATCCTAAACAAGGATGCAATTGTAAGGGAGATACAATTTTCAAAAAACCTGTCGGATTTTATTCATAAAATATCCAGAGGCGTGCGGAGGTTTATGAAAATATATCAGGAATTTCTATATTTTCGAGTAAACATTATAATAGATACTTTATATGTAATAACTAATCTTCATTTTGTTTAAAGATTTGTCAAATACAGTAATATATGTTAGAAAGCTGTATCAATTGAAGGGGCCAGGGGAAAAACATGATAAACGCCATTTTACTAATTTTACAGGAGAGCACTGGATAGCTGGTGGTTATCAGGTTCTTTCCCTGTATTCTGAGTGAATACATATTGTAGGGACCAGTTAGACCTACTATAATACATCAAATCCTAAAATTAAGAAATTGGCGCTTATCAAGTTTTTCACCTGGACCCTTCAATAACACCGCCACTGGATATTTCCATATTAGGCAATGCTTCTACTATTTCCAGGAAGGGGGCTAAAAGTGGGGATAACACTGGCCAATAAGGAAAACGTTATGCGCATGGCTACCGATGACCGGTTTCATAACGAATTAGAATTCGAGAATCTAGACGAATCAGGTGGTTATAACGGTTTGTAATGACGTCTACAATCTATTTCATATATGATCTAAGGTTTCATTCCATTTTTACGTGACAGAAAGAGTATCATATATACGTAACGTTGAGTGACGGTTGTATAAACTCTACCACATGAAAATGGAGAAAAATTTAGTTGTTTTCACTATACACTATAAATCAGACGATTTTAGAGAATCAGTAATATAATATTATATACGTTAATTTATACTATTTCATTACAAATTATTTATTCATAATACAGATTCAGCCTCTAGAGCAAATCCGTAAGAATTTCTTGAACAAATAAAGATTACAGTTGAAGGTTGGAACCTTTAGTGTTACGACAGCAAAAGACAACACTAATTCTCTAATTCATCACAATTCACAAAACCCTTTACTTTTCAACACTGGAAGCACCTTTCTCTAACCGCATGTTAGCATCATCAGATGTTTAAAACTAAACTAATATCTACAAATTGAGCGTTTATATAGGTGCTCGTTTGGTACTGACCAAAGAGGTTCTGACAAAGCGTGACAAAATCAGCCAGGCGAGTCAAAATCAATCCAGCTTAACAATTAATTACCGAAACTAGAGCAGTAGGAACAGGGAACTGGAAGAAATTGGACCATTACTACATCACTCTGTTCCTAGCTTTACATTTATTTATTTGACGCTCTCATATGCATTTAATTGCCGGTAATTTGAGATTTGTTTGATTAATTTTAATTTATTAACATCTACAATGATCTTTATCAAAAATATGTTGAGCAACGCAACATTTATCCGATCTTCTAGTTTACGCAACATTTTTTGATTGCAATCTTTACACAAAAAGATAATAATTATAAATTTTTAGTAGATAGTTATGCCACAGGTTATGTATTTGATTCTTTAAAACTACCGTATGATCGAATAAAAACGGCGTCAACGATGGCTATGAAATGAAGATCGCTCTCATTTTATATGTTAAATTATATGGGAAATATCATCGATCATCATTTCCAAGCCAACTGGACGCCGTTTTTTTTCGATCATACGGTACAACGCACTAATAATTAAGTGTAATTATAAATAATCTTCCAACGAGAGGATATATGACGATGGCAGTTGTCTATCATGTAAACTGTATTTTCTGTAATTTTTTTAGATGTCGTTTGTCGCTGTAGATATCTTCCCCGACTTGTTTGACTGACTTATAAACACACAGAAGTTTAGAAAAAAAAACAGTTTTTAATTTATATGTTTTTTTATTTTTTCTTACACTATATTGCACGATTTAAATAATAAATAAAACAATACATATATACATAACCATTTATCTACAAACTAATTCTTCATAATACTTTTTATACTTTAACGAAAATGGAAGAAATCTTTCTCTGCGTTCTTCGCTAATTTCCTGACGCACGCGTCCTTGAAATTAGTCACATTCAGCGAACTAAAATAATCGTCATGGAGGAACCTGACTATATCCTCTATCTTACACACGTAGTTGTTTCTATCCACTGCAATGATATTTCGACAGAAACTGACCTCCCTAGTTACGTCTTTCCCGTTTGACACCACCCGGAAGTAGATGCCTTTGGCGTCGTTCGTGTTCTCGCGGTTATCTTGATAGATTTCGAATATTATCCTCGAGGCGTATCGGAGGAGTAGAGGGTCGTTGGCTAGCCCTAACGCTGTGGATATTTGGAGTAGGGTGTAGTCGTGGCCAGAGTAAACGACCAAATTTGGACCATTAGATCCCACCTAAAAAGTGTATTTAATGCTATAGATGTCATCTTCTGACATTTGTCCATGAGGGTTATAATACCACAGATTAAGTATACTATATGTATACAGATAAAAATCTTATACCTAATTCGTGGTATGAAAATTGTCTTTTATGACAATGTGCAAACGAGTAAAATTTCCTGTGCGCAAAAATAAACTCGCGTAAAATAACAATAAACAGCGTAATAGAGAGATATCGCTAAACCGAATAGCGTGCATGGACGTTAATAAGGCCAGTGTTATTTCCTTTACGTGAGGTGGTATTAACTCTCTTCATTTATAGTTATCGGATCGGAAAGAATTATGTTCGCGTCGCGTCCGCTATTTAAACTTAACCTAACTTTGAATTTAAAACTTTGAAATTGTTTTGTTTACTAGGTATTTTAAAACTAAAGGGCTAAAGTGCTTAGGTTCTTTAACATTTGAAGAGTTGGAATCCACATTTGGGGCCATATTTATTTAATTAATACTAATCCCAGCTACTTAAATATCAAATCAAATTACCTAATAAAACTAAAGTAATAATTCAAAACAATTCAAACATAACCTAAAATAAAAGATCTCGCCGGCCGGCCCCGGTTGTCAAATACCCGCACATGCCATTTAAGCAATTTTTAAACGTTATTTAAAAATAGCGCTTGGTGTAATTGATCCGCAAATTACGTCAGGCGGTAACGTTATTAGCGGGCGTTGCGTTAAAAATTGACTCGCGCATATCGAACCATGATAAGGTACGCGTAAATACTGCATCACGCTATTGGGTTTTCCGATATCTCTCTAATAACTGTACCGGCCAGGCGCTGTGCACAATTTTAGAGGCCATAAGTGGGCAGGCTATGTGCGCAAACTAGTAACCTAACTAGTGCCCGATTCCGAAAATTGAAACCACGAAAAACAATAAAGAAAAAACAAAGTTTATAACCTGTATAATATAATATTATTTTTTTTGTAAGTCATCCCTACATCCCTTCCAAAGACCTGAATTTGATTTTTTTGAATATCTCGGGACCGCCATAATGCCTTAGAATTTTACTGTTTAGTTAATATGTGGTTCTAACATAACTAATCCTAACACAAATGTCCTAACTTAATAACTGTCCTAACACAATATATGAGTACTAGTTGAAGCCTGACGCATCCGCCACATCAGGAAAAAAAATACTTTTTCTTTTTTTTTAATTAAATGAAAAACAAAAAATCCGGCGACGACAGTTTTTAGAAGAGCCAATTAGCTATCTTTCAGTAAAAAAGCAACTTTCTAGAGCAAGTTGTTACTTCAGTAGAGACGACACAGATAAACATTAGCATTTTATATATGTAGACTAGTTAAATATTTGATATATGGTCTACTATCGGTTATTTTTACTCCTACCCTGAGAATTGGCAGCTATTGGTTAAAGTAAGTTGGCATATAAGCAATGAGGATTTATGTGCCAGGAGTGAAGAGAAGAAAATAGAGTTTGTATGGTTTGGGAACAGTTTATCCTTGTTTAGGAGATGGAAGTAATACGCTTTAGGAGGGATACTCTTTTCCTATTGGTCGAATGGCATCGAGGTCAGATATTGATTAATTTTTGTTTTATTCAGGGATATAGAAGTAGTTATCCCCTACCTATACCGGGTGCGTCTCAAAAGTGGCTCGCCCCTATAAGTTTTTTATTTTTTTAGATAAATAAACGAGATTTGGTATGTTAGTATACAACATTAATTAGGGTTGATTGACGTATTTAATTTCTCTAATCAAAAATTGTAGTTACTTCCTGTTTCACCAGAAATAACTACAATTTTTGATTTTTATATGGCACCCTCAGAATTTTTTACTTTATTTGATAGAAAATGACATTCTGAATAGAATGACATATAATATCTATCAACTTTTGCCATTCTCGCTTAATAAAAAGTCGTATTTTAAATTTCAATCTAGAGTGCCATGGCTATGTTAAAAACGCTAATTTTTTTATCAAGGAGCCTTCGAAAAATGTATTTGATCGTCTAATGTTTTTAGTGTCTTGTCCTGGCTGGTTAAAAGATGCCCAAATCGTATTTTTAATCATATCTCAATTTCAAATAAACCATATGCGAAAATGTCAAAACTTGACATATGATATGTCATTCTATTCAGAATGCCATATTCTATCAAATAAAGTAAAAAAAATACCGTGGGTGCCATTTAAAAATCAAAAGTTGTGGTCATTTCTGGTGAAACAGGAAGTGACCGAAAACAATTAAATATGGCAATCAATCCTAATTTATATCATATACTAAAATACCAAATCTCGTTTTTTTAACTGATAAAAAAGTTGTAGAGGTGAGCCACTTTTGAGACGCACCCGGTATATCTATATATGTTTTGGATGTTAAAAGCATTTTTTCACCAAATTTATTACAAACAAAATCCTAGATTGTCAACCGGACGAGGGTTGAAAAATAAAAAGTAGAGAAAGAATTAGGAATCTGGGTAATGTTAGTTGCATACCTTGACTATATAGTTGGTAAGGGCATTTAATAAGTAACCAAATGGTATAAAAGGGCCTTTAAGTCTAATTTAACATCAGCATTTGTTTGTACCTTGAGTTAAATTACACAAAAATAAATCTGTTACTCTTAGCCTCTGCCAAATTGGACATTAAAAAAAACGACTTAAATAAGTGTTTTTTTTTGTCAAAATTTGTCTAAAAAATTCAAATAATACTTAAAAAAGCATAACAGTAAAAAATATTATAATGACTGAAAGTATGAATAATTAAAGCCTGGTAATATATGGGCACAAAAACTTATTGCATGATAGAAGAAGAAAGTCTAATCTGCTCAGTAAGAGAATATACAACAGTGATAGTTGCCTATCACTTTAACTCAATAGTAAAAAAATTATATATTCTCCCACTGGACATTTGTGAGTGGTATCTTACCATGTGAAGCATTTGCTGGACAATATGACGCATCTGACCATATGACCTCAACAAACACAATCGACGCCAATATGTATTCCTCCATTTTTGATAATTGGTCCACTCTGTATAAGCTATAATTCCAGCGACGTTGTGTTTTCTAAAATAGATCAAGTCAACATATTTTTGCAAATAACATAAACCTGGCTATAGCCTGTCCTGTGAGAGAATACCTATATTGGGATGATGTATGTCAAAATCATATATTCTATCACTGTATAGACTCTATACAAAACCAGGTAGGTTCAGAAATACATAAAATATTTTTTATAAACCTTACCTTATACAATTTATAGGACCATCGCATGGTAATCCAGTTCTATGACATACAAAAGCCAACAGTGCATCTTTCACAGCATTTGGATCCCTGATTAAAGATTTTCTATCAGTATCGGCAGAAAAAAGTAGTCTACCTGTACTTTCTGTCAATGTTTCCACTGCAGGATGCAATTTCAATTGATGTAATTCACTCTTCTGTATTTGCCTAGAAATAAGTACTAAAAAAACTGGATAAAAATAAAAAAGTAATATCATACTTTTTCAAATGTTCAGTTATTGGGCATTCACAATCCTTAAAACAAAACGTCATGGACTGACTCTCCAAAATATTCAGTCTTGTCAATGTATCGTTGGATACAAGACCATACAGGAAAGCTAAAACCGACTGAAAGGTTCTTCGATATCTTGTGCTATGGACTAGAATTTCTTCAGGTTTAATAAAATTAATCTTTGGCCAGACTTCACGATAACTTCTCTTTAAAATAGATCCTAAATTTAGTAACTGACTGACCCCTTGCATCGTCAATTGACCCAACTGACACTGGTTTGGATATGTGGGCATTATGGGAAAACTGTGGAATGGACCTGGACCTGTCCATTGTATTTTTCCTGTTATTGTCAGATTGTGTAGATATTCCTGAAAGTACACTTTTAAAGATTATTGACTAAAAAATTGTCAGTCCAGTACCTTATAAGATCTTAAAATACTGGTTTCTTCGGTATCACAATTTATGTTTGTAATTCTTTTAACGTGCTGTAAAGGACCTCGATCTCCATGCCTGATCAATACAATTAAACCTTTAAGTAGCCACTTCTTACTATCTAAAATACCTAAAAGTTTTTCCCTCTTTGTTAAGTCAAAAATACGATTTATTTAAGTATTTCATTTAAAAATCATACAAAAGGGTTTAAGTATGACTGTCAGTTATTATTGTACCTTCGTCTCCTTGATATATTTCATCAGGAAAATTACAAATTTTGAAAATTCGTTTTGTTTTAACATCCGCTATGTCCAAATTACTGAACAATTCGGTTGTTACTTTTATATTTTCTGCGTCATCTTGAGTCCTATCGAAATATTTATACAAGACTAGAATAACGACCAGAATCCAAATAATTAAGAACAAATAACAATGCAAAGCTTTGCTCTGCGAAATCATTCGAATTGACATTGATAACAGCTGATCGACTGCAAATCAAAACAAAAACCTAACCTCACAATTCAAAACATCCCATTGACGTCATGAGATATCTTTCAATCAATAAAGCTAAAAATAGAAATTCCTGCACTTTTCATGTTGATTTACATTTTAATAGCTTTATTATACGATAATTTCTTATACTGTTTGAATTATTGATGAACTTGTAAGAGGAAAATCTAAAAATCTGAAACATTTTACATGCACTTCTCCGTTCAATAAATAAATAGGTCGTGTTTACAATCCCTCTATTTATCCGAAATATCTTATTGATTTTTTTTGTTTTTTACGCAGTATAAACTGATTTTTATTAATTATTAATTTTAAATAATCCTGTAACATTCTTAAATAGTAGGTACAATTTAGAAAACAACAATACATTATTTTTTATGTCGGAAATTAATATTCCTGCTGTGAAATTTGAATTGTCCGAAACCAGCCGATACGTAGCCACAACGATTATCAGCTGACTTGCGCAAGTGAGATTACGATAGTAAACAAATTATAATTGTCACATTTTTATTTAACTTCTCGATAGTGCTGAAGGCGGTAAGTGTTCTTGATATAGTTTCTTTTAGAATCAGTTGTTACCTAATGTACCTATTCTCTGGTTGTTACTATTTAAAAAATACCAATAGTATATAGAACGTTTTAAATGATATTTTGATATTATACAATTAGCTTTTTCTTTGTACATATTGTCGTTACTGTAGTTTTTTTTTGTCTTTAATACTTTCTTTACAAATTATACAAGCGTTATTAAACGAAAATACTTCTCTTTTTTCTAGAATAAAACGAAAATAAGGGTGAAAATACCGGCAAAACAAGACCACGTGACTCCGGCATGGTGGCCGTTGTGGTGGGGTTTGACCAGTGACAGGAGCAGCTCCACGGGAAAATGATCTTTATGGACCGAGCGTGCAAGACTGAAAATCCGAATTTCCAGTCTGTCACGGCTAGCAGTGCAGCAGGACGGTAGTGTGTGTTGTTTACGAGTTGAGTGTCACGTATCTCGCTATCCGACAGATGAGATTTAAAAAAGACATTTTCATTTCGCAAATGAACCCTTACTTTATACCAGTTCGAAAATATTCCCTTTATTTGCTGTAATCCGATGTCCGAAGTCCATAGATGTAAAATTTCGCGTTAACAATATGTAGAGGCTATTTTTGATAGCGAACGTTTTCGAATATCGTCTTCGTTTTAACGAATTAAATTCAATAGACGAGAGATATAATAAAAAACTAAATTAGATAGTGTTGTGATAATAGGAGACATGAACCAGAGAGATACCATCATTCATCTAGTCGCTGGAGGGTAAGTTACAACTTAAAACCCTTTAATTTTTGTTTACATCAATTATGTAATTAAAACGACTATATTTGGTACAGATAATGGGCTAGGTTATCGGTAAACAATTAAATTTCCAACAAACAATATATTTTACGAAGTTAATATATGCTTTATTCGTATTTATCAATATAAACAGCTATGTGATTAGATATTCCATGTTAACAAAACTTTCAAACGTGTTTACGGATCGCAGCGTTTTATAACCAGATGAGAGCCAGTTAAAAATAGAATTATGCTCTTGAAATAAAAGCAGGATAACCTCGTCCAACCGCATTTTTATTTGGGAAGTCTTTTATAAATCAAATCTGTTTTTTTAACTTACAACGCAGTTAAATGACATTTAATTGCATAAGTGTTGTTTACTCCAAATAGACCTCTCTAAATTTTTATAGTACATTAGAGGGAATTAACTTAATTTTAAATTGATCAAGACAATAATAACAATTAATTTAATCAGATGCATTCACTTAATAATTAGCTGCAATTATAATTTAGTTTTAACAATTTTTAAAGGATGGTTTATAAGGTGTGTTTATTTAAAGTTGTTTATGTTTATATCACAGTTCACACCTTGCCCAGTTTTAAACAAACAATATTGGCATATATGAGTGTTTTGGTTTAACTAAAATTGGCTAACAGTATTGTATTTATCATTAATTCCTGGTTAAAATAGTATGTACTTTCGTTTTTGTTATTTCAGTCAACAATAATAAATAATGTACACATATATTTTGTGCTTGTAATAATATATTCGGAATTCGGATCTGTAGCATGTTATTGGTGTACTTATTTTGCTTAACTTACATGCTTCTATAAGTTGTTTGACCTTGCTTACTAGCAAATTCATACCATGTTTACAATTGCGTTTTACACATAAGATAAAATCACATAATAATCTATTTTTCTAATTATAACTACATATTATATTTTTCTATATTAATTGTTAATATTCTTCAGCATTATTAACTGATTTATATTATAATTTGATACTATACTTATTGTAATTTAAAAAAAAATCTTTAAATTTAAAATAAACCAAAAATAAGTAATTTTAAATGTTCTTATCATTTTAATTCAAGAAAAATGTAGAAGTTAGATAGGAAAATTATAGAGATTATATAATTTCTAAACAGTGGCGCTTACTGGAATTTTTTTTTGAATCATTACTTGCCAAAAAAATCAGGAGTTCAGACATAAGTATGTAATTCAAATGGAAAAAAACCAGGACACACGCCATGCCTAATATATTAGCAAATAACCCGTGCTAGAGAATTCTGTAGCAATCTGAGAAATATTGTGCAATGAATATACTGTTACATGTAGGTATAAAGAAAAATACACGGAAAAATGTAATAAGTTTTTTATTTCAATAAAAAAAGGTAAAAATTGGGAGAAGCTATACAAAACTTATCTTGTAATTATTTTTAAAAGCCTATAAATATATAAAAAAATTACATTCTAGATATCTAGTTAAGTTTATGTTAAGTCTGTGCTAAAGTTTATAAAATTCTATGCTAAAGCCCCATCTACACATAAGATTTTACCTGTCAGTCTTACCTGTTCGTAAAGCTAAATTTTCCATACAGATTAGCATTTTAATCTCTCACAGACGTTTAGGGAGTTTCTAAGATCAAAGTTCGTCAAAAATTATATGCCAACTATTATAAATAAATAGTTATTCCCAATGAGATATTTGTTTGGTCTATTTTTAAGTTTTATTTGGCCAGTTCAGTGAATTTTTAAGCCTTTTTTTATACCTATTATTGTTTCCAACTGTTCACTGCAAACGCAATATATATTAGAATGTAAACAAAGATATTGACCTTCCTATTTTGAATTTGCTTATACCTAATAGATTTGTAATAATGTAAATGTTTTCAGCCTAGACTTACAAAAACATATGTAGATCTAAAAACCAGAATATTTGTTCTTTTTTTATGTAAAAATTCTAGATTTTTGCGTACAAGTTTCTCAATTTTTTCTTGAATACAAATCAAAACAATATTTAATTTTAAAGGAATTGTATGTGTAATGCCGGGTCCAGACCAAGCAGACAAAACAACGACAAGACAGAAACATTCAAATTCAAATTCATTTATTGGTGTTGCCATACTATAGTATTTACACAGGTCACATTACACAGGATAATAAAAAAAGAAAAAATCAAGCTTAAAAACATAAATAAGTTACTAGTACTAAGTTAAAAATAATTGTATATAGACATTAAAACACTAAAACACTAAATAGAATAATGGCATCAACAATTAACCTAAAAACACTAAAATCTAATATTTAAAAATTCCTGGAAGGAATAACAGGTATACCGCATCAGCAGGCCCTTAACCTCAGTCTTAAACCGCAAGAGGGGCATATCCGCAATTTCCTTGGGTAATTTATTATAGAATTTAACTGCCAGGTACCCAGGTCCAACTTGACACCTAGTCAATCGGTGGTAGATTGGCCAAGCCTATCCCGACCCTATAAAGGTCTCGGTTCTTTTTTACATAAAGGAGATTTTCCATTATATATACTGACGGGACAGTCAACACACCCACAGCCCTGAATGCCTCTCCACAGTCGGCCCGATAACCAAGCCCAGCTAAGACTCGCACAGCCGCCCTTCGTTCAGCCCAACTAAAGATTCTCTTTAGTTGGGCTGTACGTCCCCAGGCGAGAATAGCATAGGACAAAATCGAGTGGAACAAAGCAAAGTATGCAGTCCTCAGTACAGGCCCGGAAACACTTCCTGAAAGGCGACGCAGAGCAAACAATCCCCTTCTAAGTCTAGACGCATCAACATGCTCATGCCACCGAAGCAAAGGATCAATCTGCACTCTGAGAAACCTAATACTCTGGACATCTGCGTTTGCTGTTTCTAAGTCCCTAAGCGAGAACACCATCCTATTGGTTTTGTCAGGATTTAGGAGCAACCTATTGGCACAAAACCATGCCTCAACATGGCCCCGCACTACCTCACTCCTCTCCATGGCACCCTCCAATGAGTCAGATGAGAAGGCCACTGTTGTGTCATCAGCGAAAAGTGTAAATTTAGATGTTGAGTCTATATATGTAAGTCGTTGATATACAGGGTGTTTCAAAACAAATGCGAAAAACTTTAGGGGGTGATTCCTTGTTCAAAATAAAGGGTAGTTTGCTTTATAAACGTTGGGTCAAAAGTCAACCATTAGGGAGATATCGCGGTACAAAGATGGCGGAAAAATAATGTTTTTATTTTTTATCTTGAAAACGAAAAGAGATAGACTAATGAAATTTTACGGAAGCATTACTGTTATGAAAACACACTTTCAGGTATTTTTTTTACTTTTTTAAAATGAGTGGAGGGGGTTGAAATAAGCTACCCCTATCATTCTTGTTAACGAAATTTAAAGAAAAATCTTATCAAACACATGCAAATGCTTTAATTTGGATAGTTTAGTTTGTTTAGAAACTTTTTTACCTCTTGTATTTTTTTGATAAAACTCACCGATTGGAAATAAAATGTAAAGCATTACATGTCAGGACAAAAAAAACATTTTTAGATTAAGAATCTAGTGATAATAACGATAATAATAATCATCTATATAATAACGTATTGCAGTAGAGTAATGTCAAATAAAATAATATTAGGAACATCCTAAAAAGTAACAGCGGCCGACTAGATTCTTTATCAGAAAATGTTTTTTGTTCTGACATGTAATGCTTTACATTTTATTTTTTAATTTCAAATCGGTGAGTTTCATCAAAAAAATACAAGAGATAAAAAAGTTTCTAAACAAACTAAACTATCCAAATTAATTTGAAATTAAAAAATAAAATGTAAAGCATTACATGTCAGAACAAAAAACATTTTACTGCAATACGTTATTATATAGATGATTATTATTATCGTTATTATCACTAGTTTCTTAATCTAAAAATGTTTTTTTTGTCCTGACATGTAATGCTTTACATTTTATTTTTTAATTTCCAATCGGTGAGTTTTATCAAAAAAATACAAGAGGTAAAAAAGTTTCTAAACAAACTAAACTATCAAAATTAAAGCATTTGCATGTATTTGATAGAATTTTAGAATTTAGAATGAGTGGGAGGGGGGTTAATCACTTCGACCTTACAGATCCATTGTGTCCCCCTTTCTTGAATCATAACTCATCATACAGTCCCAGGGCTTTGACAAAAGCCAGTATCTGGGACGGTTTTATAGAGGGTAGTTCTCCATCTCCAATATCAGTCGTACCAAAATTCATGGCACGAATGGTTGTCGTCTCGCGCACTCAGTGATGAGGTGTACTGGTGTTTCACCATCTTCCCCACAGAATCTGCATTCGCTGTTTCTTCTTAGTTTCAATCTACTGAGGTGTTCATTGAGGAGACAGTGTCCTGTTAAAAACCCCGTGACAATCCGAAGATTGTTCTTACTCAGACCCAGGAAGATCTGTGATTTTTCTTGATCATAAGCCCTCAGAAACTTCTATGTATTTGATAAGATTTTTCTTTAAATTTCGTTAACAAGAATGATAGGGGTAGTTTATTTCAACCCCTTCCACTCATTTTAAAAAAGTGAAAAAATTACCAGAAAGTGTGTTTTCATAACAGTAATGCTTCCATAAAATTTTATTGGTCTATCTCTTTTCGTTTTCAAGATAAAAAATAAAAACATTATTTTTCCGCCATCTTTGTACCGCAATATCTCCCTAATGGTTGACTTTTGACCCAACGTTTATGAAGCAAACTACCCTTTATTTTGAACAAGGAATCACCCCCTGAAGTTTTTCGCATTTGTTTTGAAACACCCTGTATATCAAAAATAGAATTGGTCCGAGCACTGAGCCCTGGGGCACTCCAATATTAACATGACTCATCGCTGATGACTCCCCACCGACCCTCACAACCTGAACTCTAGAAGTAAGATAGGAACGCATGAAATTAATACTATCCAGACTAAAATTGTACCTTTCAAGCTTCCGTAACAGTATGTCATGTGGTACACAATCGAATGCCTTACTCAGATCGCAAAGTAAGGCCCCTGTAAAGTCAAGACTATCAAAAGACTCCAGAACACAAGACACAAGGTCCAGGATACCAAGAACCGTATTCCAATTTTTATTTATTACTTTGACAGATAGTGTTCCGCCATGATGGTATAAATTTACTATTGAAGAATCATAGCATATTCTCTCTTTTGTGGTAGGATGGATTAAAGAATTAAAAAATCAACTAAAACAAAAATATTTACCTATTTTGAGAACACTTTAAAGTACAGGGTGGCTCAAATTCGACGCTTTTAAATGGAAACACCCTTTTCTATAGGAGATAGATAAAAACTAATATCGGTGTCTGGAGCTCAATTTTTGTCAAAAACATGATGGTGAAAACCGCATATCGATATCTGATACCGTTTCGGAGTTACGGGGTGTTTTTCAAAAATATGCATTTTTAACAAATCGCTGTAACTTTTTTGCTATGGAAAATTTTGTATTTTTATGAAAACATTTTCAAAGCACCTTTTTACGTAGAATTTAATGGTTTAAGTGTAATTTTTTTAAAATTAATAATTTAAGAATTTTGAAAAACAGAAAATTTGATTTTTTATATGGAACACCCTGTATATTTTCAATTCTTTGAAAATAATTTAAAATTACTTTTCCAAAAAAATAGCATACTTGATATTTTGCTCGATTGCTCTTCGATATATAGAGTTTTTAAAAATTCGCCCGCTTGGATTAAGTAGGCTTTGAACGGCACCAAACCAAACCAAACCAAACTAAAACGAAAATAATATTTGCTATGAGAGATGCAGAGTTTTATAACAATTTAAAATATATTTAACCCACATCAACACATTTAAACTATATCTAATAACAATAAAAATAAACAGCAAACTAAGAAATGAGATTTTGCTACAGGTGTTCGACATATCAACCGTCTTCTGTTATGGACAGACGGGGCAGTTTTTGAACATTTCTCGCGGAATTCATTACTCAGTGGGGGTGAAAGATACCCTCTCATAACTGCTAAGTATTTCTAATTCTTGTCTAGATTATACGGAAGAATAAGGAACCTTTATTCTTCCGCAAATATATCCATAGGATTAGATCCATGGGCACTAAGTCAGGCGGCCTCGACGGCCAACGGCTGGGATCTTGGTTAGCTATTCAATTATTCTTGATATTGGCTGCAAACATTTGCTGATAACTTCAGCGTTCAAAGCCGGTGCGTGGTCTTGCTGGAAAAATATGTTTTCGAGTTGCATTAAGGGCATATCATCAATAAGGGGTCCAAAGCCTACTAGTTAAAAGTGGCGAACTATTAAAAATTTTATATTTCGAAGGGGATTATAAGAAAATATCAAGTGTGCTATATTTTTGGAAAGGTAATTTTAAATTCTTTTCAGTTAATTAAAAATATAGAGGGTGTCCCAAATAAAAAATCAATTTTTCTGTTGATAACTCTTAAATTATTAATTTTAAAAAAATTATACTTAAACGATTAAATTCTACGTAAAAAGGTGCTTTGGAAATGTTTTCATAGAAATACAAAATTTTCCATAGCAAAAAAGTTACAGCGATTTGTTCAAAATGCACATTTTTGAAAAACACCGCGTAACTCCGAAACGGTAACAGATATTGATGTGCGGTTTTCACCATCATGTTTTTGATAAAAATTGAGCTCCAGACACCGATATTAGTTTTTTGTGTATCTCCTATAGAAAAGGGTGTTTCCATTTAAAAGCGTCGAATTTGACCCACCCTGTACATTAAATAGGACAACCTGATTATTTACTAATTGTTGTACAGTAACTCAAAGTTTAAATTATTTAATGACACTGTCACTAAGCAATTAGAAGATTAATAAATAATTAATTTGTTGTTAGTTTATATGAGAATTGGTAATGCTTATTTAACTGAACGTGAATGCTTTTTTATGAACAAGAGTATAAATAATGTTTTAACATTTTTACAACAGGATTGTGGATTAAGTAAATATAAACCGGTATAAAAATAATAAATTTTTATACCTGTAATCAGAAAAATATATAACTTCTATCTACCTTTGTTCTCTTCAACTTCTATGATAATAATGGTTTTTTATACTTATATTCTTAAGAAAAAGAGAAAATCTATCTTCCATAATATAGCCCTTCATCAATACCTTATCATGGTATAGTAGAATATACATCCTTATAGTGATTACCCCCCTCCCGTATGGGAGGAGCGTTAATCACCACGACCTTACAGATATATTGTGTCCCCTTTCTTGAGTTATAACTCATCATGCAGTCCCAGGGTTTTGAGAAAAACCAGTATCTGAGACGGTTTTACAGACGCTAGTTCTCTATCATGAGGTGTTGAATGAGGTGTGTGAATCATCTGGTTGAAGCAATATCTTAGATTCAATCTACTGAGGTGTTCATTGAGGAGACATTGTTAAAAATCCCGTGACATATTACAGTCCGAAAATTCTTGTTACTTAAATCAACTCAACTAAAACAACTTAAATCCAACTCTTGACACGCACCTACAATGTCCTGCTTCCGAATAGGGACGGTTTATTACATGCGGAAATGTGTTGGTACACGGACGGATCCAAAAACGAAAAAGGATCTGGCGCAAGAATTTACTGCGGCAGTCCAAAGACTGAGACATACCACAGTCTTGGAAAACATTTTATTTTTGGATTTTCCAAGCTGAGCTATATGCTATTGAAACCTGTGTGCAACTGCTGGTAGAACAGCAATAACACGCCAAGCCGCGTTGAAAGTACTTGAGGCAACGAAAAGCCCGTCTATGACGATTCTTCATTGTAAGAAACTACTCAATATATTAGGATATAGGAACAGTGTCGCTAATATGGATACCGGCGCATGTCGCCATTCGTGGGCCCAGAACCGATACTTAGCGTGCCAAAAAATCTCGCAAGAGACAGGCAATGTGTTAGGGGTGCGACGTTTCGGGACTGGAATGACAGTCCCGGAATGGAACATGCCAAGAAAATCCTAGCGGGGCCATCCAAACGTAGAACAGGAGAACTCCTAAAGGATGGTAGGAATGGAGCGCAAGTCCCGTGAACTTTAATGCTCTTTTTCAATTAAAGAACTTGTAGAAACTGAGCCACAATAGGCCCTCGTGGCCACAGTGCTGGGTCCCACCTGTCCCACTCTTAGTCAATACAATACAATACTTAAATTAAGCAAGATCTTTGATTGTGTCTCGGTTGTCCGAGAGTCCTGAGAAATTAGAAGGGTCTTAGACCGTTGGAGGATTCCCATTCCAGGTTACGGATGGAGATTTCCAGGTACTTGAGTTCTGTTTTAAGTTCCACTTGGGAAGCAGTACGGTTCTGGTCCAGTGGAGTTTTCGCTCCTTTTCTAGCTACATCGTTTGCTCTTTCATTTCATTCTACCCTTTAGTGGGCTGGCACCCATAGTAGGAGGACTTCTTTGTCTACTTTGTTCAGCTTCTCTAGGCATTCTTTGACCAACTTCGAATTGATTGTTCTTTTGTTTTATTCTTCTTATCACGCCCTCTCCTGCCGAAGGTTGGCGATCCAAATGGCAATTGTGGCTCTGGAAACTGCAGCCCGGAAGATTCACGCAGACGAGCGTTCAAACCATCTCCTCAAATCTTTTAGCCATCAGTTCTGGCGTCTTCCTACTGATCTTTTCCCTTGCACTTTGCCCTCTATTATGAGGCGCAGTATTTCGTATCTACCACCTCTCATTACATGACCCAGGTATTGCATTTTTCTTTCCTTGATGGTGTTCAGTATCTCTTTTTGTTTCTGCATGCGCTGGAGTACTTCATCGTTGGTGATCCTTTGTACCCATGAGATTATCAGCATCCGTCTGTATACATAATACATACATTTAGAAGGCTTCTATTCTCTTCTCGGTCTGTGAAGCCAGTGTCCAGCTCTCACATCCATAGAGTAACACAGAGAAGACGTAGCATCTGGCACTGAGGTCTCGTCTTGTAAAAAATGATTTCATTCTCACGAAGATTTTTCTCGCTTGCTCAATTTTTGAAGATATTTCTCTTTTCGGGTCGCACTGACTATTGATGTTAGCTCCTAAATACTTTAATGAGGTCACTTGTTCAATTGTTTGTCCCTTGACACGCAGGTGTGCATTTATTGGAGTCTTAGAAAAGACCAATAGTTTGGTCTTGGAGACATTGAGATGCAGTTCAAACATCTCACTATAGTGGACTACGGAATCTATAATGCTTTGCAGTTCTTGTATATCGTTGGCTATTATAACCGTATCATCGGCATATCTGATATTGTTTATTGGGATTCCACTGAACTTGATTCCGCCCTGGATTCGATCCAGTGCTTCTCTTTGTTTTATTATTATTCACTTATTATCTTTAGTATGTTCATATATTTTTCTTAGTTATTATCTATCTTATTACTTGTACATTTATACAATTTAATTGATTTTTGTTTGAATTTCAGAGTGGCGGGTACAGTAGGTGCCATCGTGACTTGTCCATTAGAAGTAGTCAAAACTCGCCAACAGTCTTCAAGGGGCAGCGGTTTCAAATCGACCCCAGGAAGCGATGCACCTCCACAGTCAAGGAACGTTAAACCCTCATCGACTCCTGGTAATTAAATGTGATTGATTTAGCTAATTGTCATTGCTGCACAGACAAATAAATTTTCTGTTAATTAATGTGATTTTTTTCTGTCTCTATTTGTACTCATACCAAATGTATTGTTTAAAAATAACATTTGGGGAACGTTATGTGATATGAAGTACCATACGATCGAAAAAAAAAACGGCAAAGACAGCTTATATAGCGAGTAAATTAATGATTTTTCAATGGTGTATAATGTTACAGTGAAAGTTGGAAATTCAGTGATTGTTAACATTCACTAGGAAATGCTAGCAATTACGCATTGGACCAGTGAATGTGGCATTTTAAAGATATTTGTCGACTTTTCCTAGTAATTTCTAACATTCACTTGTGAAAGTAACATTTACTAAAGGTTGCCAGTAAAAGTTATTCTATTGTACATGGAGAGTGTGGTAAGGAAGAATGTTGGTGGAAGTTAGAACAAATAAAACTTCTAAGAATATTGGATCACCTCAATATTCAAGCTGATCCACATATCTTAAAATTACAATTTACTTCTTTAGTATATTTATTAAAAATTATAGAAAATAACAGCATAACCTTCTGAATATTAAAAAAGGGAACACATAGTAAGCATTTTAAAGCGTACAAAACATTAAAAAAAAAACACATTCATAAACATAAGATTACTTATGGGTACAAGGTTTTTTAATAAAGTTCTTCATCGTGGACAAAATAAAGTATGCCTGAATTTTCAACGGGAGTTATTCGTTTTTCAAACCTGCTACTTCAAGCATATCAAAACGTTCATAGTCACTAGGTTCCTTAATATCTTTTTTTCTTGCACGCTTAACTTTTACTATGACTTCATTATATTGCAAAAATGAAAAACAAGCACTATTACATTCTTGCTAGTGCCTAGTTTACCTTAAGTTTTCACAGAAAATTTCTTTCAGAGGGAAAATACTGCACAACACTTTTTACAACGATAACGAAACGATTATACATAACCACAAAAAACAAAGTGAATTTACGCCAGATGTCTGTCAACGTTGCCAGTGTTTAGCCCAATTTAATGTTATCCTGATATTGCCTATTATTCAACTTATCCTTATTTATTCTTATATTTTACTATTTACTATATTATGCTAGGATTCACTAGTAAAAATTGGTTTCAAAAATAGCTGTTGAACTTTTACTGGCGTAGTCTTAGCAAATCAGTAAATGGGGTGAGTTTTTACTAGTAATTGTTAACAATCACTGATTTCCAACTTTTACTGTAACATATATAAAAAAAATTCAAGGAGTAAATGACGTCTAGTGATTGACCTCGCCAAAATTATCAACGGTTGTCATTCCCAGCCGTCTTTGAGACTATTTTTTTCGACGATACGGTATATTATAGTTATCTAGAAACTTCTGTAACTAAAATATATTATTCCGTAACTAAATGATAACAGTAATAAAACGTTTCAGCTATACATTAGACAGAAGATATCAGTAAATTATATTTCTGAATCTTTTGTCTGTTACTATGTGTGTTTTGCATCAATTCAATCAAATTTCTTATTACATTTTGTATGGCTTCAAGATACCACTGTTCTTTTAGGAGTTTCAATGACAATATACAGTATTAAACAGAAAGTTTTTATCAAATTGCATCAAAATCAATAAAATTGCTTGACTTTATATGTTTTTTATTAATAATTGAGGCAAATATTTAATTATGATACATATCTTTTTTGTATTTCTAATTGTTTTTCTCTTTATTCTATCTTTTTTCACTTATACTCAATGTTAGATTACTTTAGTGATAAGGCTTGATTTTTCTAAATAAAACTAGCTTGTGCTAAAAATTGTCTATAATATAAGCATGAAAATATTTGTTCTTGCATTAGGTAAGCGTAGGTTATGGACATCTACAAGCTATGGCCGGCCTCAAGTTGTGGCTCTTTCAGGTTTCACGGCGCCTCCGCCACCTCCACTGAGGCTGGGCAACGACATGGGCATCGCCCAGTGTATCAGGCACATTATCAGATATGAAGGTCCAGTGGCCCTATTTAAAGGTAAGTTTATAATTTATATTAGTCCAGGAGAGGCAGTGCATTTTTTTATACTTATTTTTCAAGTCAGTGAATATGAAATAGTTTCCAAAAAAATCATATATGGGTATTTCGCCACTGTTTCTATTTTTTGTAAACACTTCTGCGTTAATCCAAACGGAAACTAATCAGTCAGAAGTTAGGTTTACAGATATACAAATTTGCCTAACGAACAAAAAAACGCTTAACGTTTCGGAAAGTTTATCTCTTTCCGTCGTCGGAAGCAAAAAAAATACAAAGAATAAAGAAAAAAACTATTTAAAATATTTAAATTCAACTATTCGAGAAAACTTTAGTTTTTTAAAACAGATACGTCTACAAAAACCGTTGACGTTCTGTTAAAATGGCATTATATCAAGTTAAACTTCAAAATTAACAATTACTACCTGATAACAATTACTTAATAAGGTAAAACCAAAAAACCCTAAACTTTCTGTATGATTATTTTTAAATTTCACGTATGTTATGTTTATTTATGTTATGTTCTTTAAAATCAAAGAAGCGATTGCCATACGTTACTAACATCTACAGATGCATGAGCAATACATTTATTTTTAATAGATTGAATTAAAAAAGCCTCTTTTATTTTTCTTTTAGAGGCTATCGCTTCTTTCATTATAATTTAGGCGTTATTAAAATTCATTCTGTGCCTTGTGTCCCATGAATGTTGACAAATCTTAGATTTGTGAAAATCTCCCTTTCTTAAATAATCTTTATGTTCTTTAATTCTAACATTTAAGGGTCTAGATGTTTCACCAATGTTAAATTTATCGCATTCACTGGGTATTTGGTATATTACACTTTTTGTTTGTTGTTCTGTATTCATTGGTTTAGTATGTGATAAAATGGATATAGACACATAGGTATAGACATTTTTTATGAAATAGTTTGTTTAGATGGTCACATAAAATGAAAATTTGTTAATCTGGCTAAAATTTTCGGAAGGGTTTACTAGATAAAAAAAAAACAAGTCAACTTATTTTATTCAGTCATTTAAGTCTTAAATATTTGACATTTATTAAAGTGAATCATTTTATTAATGGAAATAACAGTCTGGCACATCCCAAGTGGAGGAAAGTTAGTCTGGCTGAAAATTTGCGGATGCAAAAATTTGACAGATTTTGAAATCTGTAACCTTTATTTTCCCATTTTTTTTTGCTTAAAATTTAACTACCATTATTTATTTGATACTATCATAAACTATAATCAAAAGCAAGTCTGGTTGATTTACGAAATTGGCAAATGAGCCTGGCGGCATCTTGAAAATTGCAAAAATTACAATTTTTTGCTCTTATTTTCCCGGATTTGAAAATTTGTCACATGATAAATAATAAATATAATAATACTATAATTTCATAGAAAATACACGTTCTTGTGAGTCTTAACATTATATAACGCATATATTGAACACATCCATAGTTAATTTTTTTTCCATTAACAAGGGGCGCAGTCCTCTGCCGGAAACACTGCGACCTGTGTGGCCTATTGTGTTAGTCCCCTTTCTATATCTGTACCCATTCTCCTATCCCTACGCCCTGCACTAACTTATGCAGGTCCTTGAGAGGATGGGAGCATAGTTCCTCCGGTTCTAGCCTAGCTTTCCTAAAAAAAGTGTCGCTTGCGATCCAAAGCCAAAGCCTCGCAATTACATATTATGTGCTCCGTTGTTTCAGGATTTTTATCGCAGAGTCTGCAGCAAAGACTTCCTTGATACAGGTTGAGCTTGTTCAGGTAACACTTGACATATATCCTGTCAAGAGGCCTGTTGTAATCCGCACTTTATTCCTGCTAAGCATTAGCAGTTCTTTTGCGGTTTTAGAGTAGGTCCTTGGATAAAGGCCTTGCTGCGCCTGTACCTTTGTCTGTTTCTCCAGTGGACATTCTGCTTTTCCCTGATCCAAAGTTTTACCAGATCCAAAGTTTTACCAGAACTTAAAAAATATTAGAAATTTTTTTAGTGATAAATAGATTGGTGTAGACGTCATCTGTCTTTTTTCTCCTATCTTCCGGCGAAATCTTCCAATATTCGTATAAAACAGACTATATTTTTCTATTAAATATAACATTAATTTTTATTCCAGGTTTGGGCCCTAACTTGATAGGAGTTGCCCCTTCTCGTGCCGTGTATTTCTCCACCTATTCCCAAGCCAAAAGGTTCTGGAATAGCATATTACCACCAGATTCTCCTATAGTGCATGTTTGTTCGGCGTCGTGCGCAGGCTTCATGGCCAGCACGCTCACCAACCCCATCTGGTTCGTGAAGACTCGACTGCAATTGGACGTGAACAAGGAGAATCCCATGACCGCTCTGCAGTGTGTTAAGCAAATTTATGCCAAATCGGTGAGTATTCTCATCCATAGACATGTATAAGGGTACCTACACTTACTCGCCGTTTTAAAACATTGCTTAGAAGGATGGTGCGCGTAGGATGCATCGCGGCGAGCATCGCATCGAGATGCCCCACTATGTTTGTACCCTAAGAGACCATATACAGGTTGTTAATTTGTTTATTATCCGCGGCAAGAGCTTTACGGTTGAAATATGGCAACCTTGGCCCGCTCGTCGGTAGACAACGCGACGGGACGAGTCGCCAGAAAACCCTATAAGTGTATGCGTTCTCAATAGGCAGTGTTGCCATTCTGTTCCCCTATATGTAACTGTCCAGTTAACAACCTGTATAAGCGATATCAATTAAACTTTTAGTTACGTAATCCACTGTTACAAACCATGGACATATTCGGCGCCTGGCTGACTAACTGGAATTTAAATTTCCGGCTGGGAATTCACTTGGTAGCTCTGCTGTAAAAAATGTCAAAGTGCCAATTTATTTTTTTATTTCCTGACATTGTCATTCGTTTTGACAATTTAGTTTTTTATTACGAATTTTTGGTTTAAATAAATAGTGTTGTGATACTTAACTGCCTGTTGGTCACCCACCGTTTTGTGGCCATTTTTGTGACTGCTTTTGCAACGTTGCAGGAGGGTTCTGGGCCTAGAACCTAAAGCTAGAGGATAGTTAGACGTCTATCCAACGAGTCGTTCTTTCATTTTTTCAATGTCAACTATCGAAGATTTCGATAGTTGACATTGAAAAAATGAAAGAAAATACAATTTACCTATGGATTAATATAACAGACAATCCGGAGTTTAACCATAGTTTTTTTATTGCAAATAATTAATCTTCATACAATTTTATGACACCCGTATTTTTTATTTTACTTCAATTTCATCCCATTTCTTTAAAAAAAAATTAATCAATATTAAGCATTTCAAATTTACTTGAAATTCTTTTTACTTGATGTATGTATTTTAAAGTAGATATAAAATTAATTGTAAAATAAAACTTAAGGAACTTACGTTAAAATGATCTTAACAGCAAAATCTCGTACTTTTACTGACATATTGTCTTGCCGCTTCAAACTAGGCTCTTCGACGGCTTTCATCCAAAGGAACAGTTATAAAAACTTTTTCTGGAGAGCCTTCAGTGTTATTTAGACAGCCCTTCACAAAACAAACTTTAATACCCTTCATTACAAAAATAATAAAGAGGGTACAATAAAACAAAATTGAAAACTCAAAGTATTTAACGCCAAACGCAAAATCAAGAAAATACAAATTTAACCTCGAACGCCTCGAACATCCAAACAACTTTGGTAGTGTTTAATGCTTCGATAAAAATGGCAGTAACCTGTTAATTATATAAATTTAAGTTTTAATTTCTAGTAGTGAAAAATATAAAAGTAAATTTAATATTGGGGTAATAAAGAATAATCCCACATAAAAACGTATTTTTTAACGATCTTAATAAAAATAGAAAAATCTAACGTGATTTTAAGATATATGGCGTAAATACGGTAGCAGAGAACTAGACACGCCATAATATTATTCTTCAGAGGCTGGAGCGCCCTCTGTCAACTATTCAGTCAAATGCTGATAGGTGACGTCACAATTTTCTACTCGTCATTTCTAACCAGTGAAATTTGTATTGAGTTTGATTTATTATTTATTCCTTAATTGTAACTTGGCTGCATTTCTTTTTGTATTGAGGGAGTACTTTTTAATCACTTCAATTGAATTTTATATTAAAAATAACAAGAACTTACTATGGTTAAACACCGGATTGACACTTTATAAACATATAAATATGACCTTATGCACCGCTGCCGCTGTTTATGCCGTAAATCGTAAAACTGCAGACAATTTAGTTTATGTTGTCTGACATATTAATTGAAAAGTACACATCTTTGTTATTTGTATTTTGACTGTTATAATCGTTCGTTGTCTCTCTTTACATTTTCCATTTCACATCCCCGCATATGCTACATACGGCATTTCTGTACAGGGTGGCTCGAATTCGACGTTCATCATTGGGATTTCGGAAACCGTAAGAGATATATAGGATCGGTTAAAAGAAGGCAAAGTTGCGCAATTTGAAGCTCAATAAAATGCCGTATTGCATTTTTATTTTTTTTGCATAAAATATTCTGGTGATGGAACTTTCTGTACGAAACGTCGGCAAATATCAAAGTGACTATATATAGTGTTTTAAGAGTGATGAACGGATTTAATTAAATTGAAAAAAAAATCAGGTCCGTATTTAAAAAAATTAAGTTGATGATGTCGCCAGAAGCCGAAACGTCAGAGTCAATATTTAATCACACAGAGTTATAGAGCAGAAAAAGTGGTCATGAAAATGTGTTTTTCATTTTAAGTTATCTTAACAAATAAAGCCAAGAAACAATAGAAAACAAAATTGATAATTCCGTTTTTTTTTTCGAATATATTCGGAAGTATTCGGAATTTTTCAAAATGCTATACGGCATTTTATTCAGCATCAAATTGCGCAACTTTACCTCCATTTAACCGATCCTGTATCTCTTACGGTTTCCGAAATCCCAATGATGGGCGTCGAATTCGAGTCACCCTGTACACACATTTTTCAATTAGATCATGCCATGGTACATTAAAAGGTGATATAACATAAGAGGGATTGACAATTAAATTCTAAATACCGTATATTCAATTTAGTCAGTACCTAAAACTATTTATAGTATTGTTTATGTTTACATTGTGTTACCGGCTTGAATAAATTGCGTTTAATTTCTTAAAAGATTTATTTTTATTTACGCCTTTTTGAGCCAAATAAGATGATAACTGAGGTGATAGCGAATGTCAAGGTTCCGCAAATATCTAAAAATATTTTTTGATAAACAAAAATAGATAAATGGCATTAAAATGTCAGATTTTTTGTTTAATTCGATTAACTTATTTTGTTTGTTATTTATTAACTTGATTTTTAAACTAAAACTACTTGACTAAATCATAAACACTAGAATTATTAAGTTTACAATTATCAATTTCAAATAAAATAAAATATCAACAAAATATATTAAAATTTCAAAAAAAATTATAAATAATTTTAATGTTAAGATTAACAATAAAAATCAAACAATCAATCACGGCGCGTCTTTGTGGAGTATACCGGGTGACTCTCAAAAGTGGCTCACCCCCTATAACTTTTTTATTTTATCAGATAAAAAAAAGGAAATTTGGTATGTTAGTATATGACATATATTAGGATTGATTGACGTATTCAATTTTTTTCGGCCACTTCCTGTTTCACCGGAAATGACTACAACTTTTGATTTTTAAATGACACACTCGGTATTTTTTTACTTCAGTCGATAGAAAATGACATTCTGAATAGAATGAAATATCATATGTCAGCTTTTGACATTTTCGCTTAAAACAAAATTGAATTTTAAATTTCAATCTAGAGTGCCATGGCTGTATTAAAACATTAATTTTTAGTCAAGGAGCCTTGGAAAAATAGATTTAATTGTCTAATGTTATTCGTGTCTTGTCCTGGCCGGTTAAAAGATGCCCAAATCGTACTTTTAATCATATCTCAATTTTTTCAAATGGAACGAGAGTGGCTCATTAGCATATTTGGAAAAAGCATTTTTTTACGAATAATTTGGTACCACACACTTGGTATTTCGAGTCAAATTGTCGTTATGAATCGCATGTTCCAATTTCAAATAAATCATATTCGAAAATTTCAAAAGTTGACATATGATATGTCATTATGTTCAGAGTAAAAATTACTTTCTATAGGGAAATACCTTATTAATTCTGTTCACATTTAAAAATCAAAAGTTGTAGTCACTTCCGGTGAAACAGGAAGTGACAGAAAACAACTGAATACGTCAATCAATCCTAATTTATATCATATATTAATGTACCAAATCTCGATTTTTTATCTGAAAAAATAAAAAAGTTATAGGGGGTGAGCCACTTTTGAGACGCACCCGGTATATCAATATAACATAAACAGGTGTTTTAGAAACGTCTAGGTTTACTTATTTCACTGAGATTTATGAAAAAAAAATCCTTTGCCTCGGATACAGATACCGCCACGTTTTGGAAATAGCTTAAAACAAAACAAAATTGAACGAGGCAACAAAACGCAAAAATCCCCCACGCCCTCCTCACGAGTAGTTTTCAGGCGCTTTTAAGAATCGAAAGTAAGTCGAGGCAAACCGAAGTGGGCCAAGACAACAGGAAATAAATCAAAATGCGTCAAAGTTGGGTAACGAAATTGCGCTGTGCGCTTTTTACACCATACTTAACACTGACTATAAGCTACACCGCACCAAATCGCTATTCTGAACTCGCCTAACAAACAACTCTTTTTCAGGGCTTGTTGGGTTTCTACAAAGGAATCACCGCCTCCTACATGGGCATCTCCGAAACCATCATCCACTTCGTGATATACGAGGCGATCAAAGCGGAACTGATCGCCTCTCACGAGCACTTCAACGACGAACGCACCTCCAAGGACTTCGTCGAATTCATGATCGCCGGTGCCATCTCCAAAACGGTCGCCTCTTGCATCGCCTACCCCCACGAGGTGTGCAGGACCAGGTTGAGGGAGGAGGGCAACAAATACAACAGCTTTTTTCAAACGCTGAGCCTGGTGTTCAAGGAGGAAGGCCTGAGGGGCCTGTACAGGTAATAATACTATACAAAGACTCTGAACACTTATATTAACGGAAATTATTTCAATACCAGGATTGTCTTTTGAAACAAATATAGTTTTTTAGATAGGCCACAGTGCAAACAAAGCTATTGTATTTATTCTTAGTTTCAATCTTTTTTTTACAATCACAATTTCTGTACATCGTAAATTGGAAATAAAGGATTGTTCTTATTATTGCAGGGGACTCAAAACTCAGCTGGTGAGGCAGATTCCCAATACGGCCATCATGATGTCTACTTACGAGGCTGTGGTGTACATACTGACGTCTAGGTTTAATACGGAGTTTTACCAAAAAGAGGAGAACTGAGCCGACCCTGGGCCGTTCAAAACGGCTTTCGGGGAAGTCTAGTCAGATATAAGAAGCTTGAATTTTTAATTTTTGGTACGTGAGATGGGGTCCCTGGTGTGTAGATAAATTTGGAATTAAATTGTCGGTGGATTTATGAAAATATATCTTATGGATGATTTTCACTAGATTCTTAGAGTTTTTTGTTATTTTGTTGATTTTTTGAATGATTCTGATAGGCCGGAAAGTCCATTGAATAATAATATTAAAGGTGAGTTTATATGCGTCTGTCGTTCTGTTCACACCAATCGTGGTGAAGTATGGTCTGTGATTTTTGTCTGTCAACTACGGACGACGCATGACGGATGCATATAAACCTATACCAAGGATGGAGTATATCAACAAAATAAGTGAGATCGCAAAGGGGGTTTTAATATGGCTCACCGTAATTTGGTTTTATTTGTGTCTTTTTTTAACTAGTTAAAATATAAAGTAAGGTAGACTCAATAATTTGCTAGTTTTGTTTTATGTTGAATCAACAATAGTTATTAAAGCTGTTAAAAATCATATTTCTAAGAAAAATGATTATGTTAACCCATTATTTCATACCGAAAAATACAGATACTCTATCAAAACAATTAAGTAAAATTCATAAATTTGAGTAGGTATCCTATTAATTTTTGTCAAGTAGTAAATACATTTTTTTGCTTATTACTTGAAACTTTACTTATTACTTAAAACATTAATAATTATACCATTATTTAAGTTTTCATTCAGGGGTTTTCAATTAATTAGCGTAAATATTTATTTCTCTAATTTTAATGTAATCTCGAAATCAGTGGAATAAATTAGTAGTTTCAATTAGCAGTAGAAGTTGTTGACCTAATTTTAATGTAAGCATTCATAACGTCATAATTAGTGGTAGTAATTTTCAATTAGTGGAAAAAGTTAACAAACTTTTGACTTTTCATCTTAATTATACCAAAGAGTAGATAAGACAAGAGACGACAGTTCGCGCGGTACCTTTCATGTTTGAGTGGTGGGGAGAGTGACCTCGTCTCGCTTGTCCCTTTAAATTTTCGTAACTTTTTCGCGGGAAATTTGAAATAGACTATTATTAAAACTTGCCTGTATAGCTTATAAATAGTTACTGTATGGGTAAAGAAATAAATAGAAACGAAAAAAAATGAGTTTTATAATTATTATATAAAATAAATTATAATTAGAAACATATTTGTCGGGGAATAAAGATAATAAAAGCAATATTTTGTATATCGTTGGTAAACAAGATAAAGTGACCAAGTCGATTTGTAAGAAGTGTTTTATTTACGTGTATTTTTTTACATATGGACTTGAACAAGTGTAATATTACAATGAACACACAATAGATCTATAAAGTCGCGGTGATTATCTCCCCTCGATTCTACAATATCACAATGTGGAGTTTATGTACAAAAAAATAGAGTTGCTCAATTTTCTTTGTAAAAATATATTACAAGCTTCTAACCATGTCTTCGATCTATGGATTACATTTAGTTTAATAACATAATTATATAGTATATTTCTAAAAAAATAATTTTCAGGATCCTTTGGAAACGAGTGAAATATTATGTTTGTCGAAGAATAAGACCTATTTTTGCAGTCTTTATAAGCACACACATTGCCACCATCTCGTGTTTTCCTGCTACTCGTGTCCTGTTCAGTATTCATATTTAACAATAATTACAAATTAGTACGCAACAAAAACGATACTAAAATTAAACCTTAAAAACTCTCAAACCGATAATATATCGAAAAACTCTGAAACACACACTTTAAAAAGGCAAAAATGCAAGAAAACAACTAATCAGATTTGTTTATGTTTAATCCTGATTAGCGTCCTAAAATCATAGGTTAGAATAAATAAAATACGCCGTTGTCAGATTTTCAGATTTTATCGTTTATCTTTGAAATCGATCAACTTAGTTAGTCATTCTGTTTCTTTTATATTAACAGTACATTGCGAAAAAAGAACCTAAACCAACCTAAACTAAAAATTTACATTTCCGTATTAACATACGTTACTTATATTCTTCTTATATTATTAATTTATTTTCAGAAAATCTTGTTTATTTTTCAAAGAAATATACTTGGCAACAGATAAAATGGGACTTGATGGGACCTTTAAATTTTAATATATCTGCGTCTCTCTCGCAAAATTCGACTTCTTTGTTCACTGTCGCCTCTTGTCTTATCTACTCTTTGATTATACTTCAAAATTTGCGAGGAATGTCATTTTGGACTTTGATTATCACCCGTCAAGAAAAATTTTGGTTAGAAATCAAAAGTTTATTGTTTTATAAGCTAAATATTAGGCTTTCTCTGTGAATACAACAGATTACCGCCAGCTGTTGCTAGGATATTCTATTAATTTTAATTGTTTTTTTAACGTTGTGAATTATTATAAACTTTTATACCTCTAGACTTATTCCACTAGTTTGGAGGTTCTGAATGAAGCATTCATATAGTGCAAAATTTTCCAATTCGGGATTGGGATCCTGTTTTCCTTTGGTTGGAAACCTATAATCTTGCGATCCCCCCTTTCAACCTATAATCCTCCCTATCAGAATGAGAAATTTAATTATTTTAATAAAGAAATACTTAATAAAAATGCAGCTACATATATCAAAAAGAAAATAAGAAAAGAGCTTTATTAAAATAGACAAAAAAAATTCATATTTAGTAAGAAAAAAAAATACAATTCTTGTTGCAAAAAAATGAAATATAGTAAACACGGAAATTTAACTTTATTGACGTTCTGCTTAGTATAAATAAAATATGATCTTTGAAAGACTAAAGTGTATAAAATCAATTCATTTTAGATTGAGCATTTAAATTTTTCGAGATTTTTGGGATCCCGGGATTTGATATCGGGATTTCGGGGATTACACCGGGATTCTGATTTGGAAATCTTAATCTGTGTGGTCTGGATTTTAACGTGTTAAAATAATGATGGAGATATCCTATTGGGTAAATCAAACATACTAAAAAGAAACAAAAAATGGTATGTGTTAACCACATTTCTTCTATGCGGTATCGTCTGATTTTTGTCCCGATGAGCAGTTTTAAAGCCGTGTAAGAACCGGCAACATTGCATGTCTCTTTGTTTCTCTGTCTATCAACCTGGTACAAAACTATATTTTCTTGGTCTTACCCTTTAAATACAGACTACATTATTTAAAATAATATGAAGCATTGCAGTTGCCAAGTATTTTTCTCTTTAAACTTTTTAAGTAGAGTACCTCTAGCTATCTCTGTCATATTTAGTCATCCTTTCACACACATATCTTATCAGTCTTTGATGAAAGTATGTATTTTTTTAAAATTTCAAGAAGTAAAAAAGTGAGAGTATTATATCTGATTAGACGCATGTTTTTTAATAAATAAGTCGTAAACTCGTATAGATTTGGCAGTTAAAATTCATCAAGTAATTTTAGCTTATATTTTGAAAACGTTGTTTATATGATTACATAACTTTTTTACACAGTTCAAGGTATTTTGCTTGGCAAGTCTTTGTGTAAACTTTGCTTTGTCTAAGTTTCACTTTTTTAGTGTTTTCTACCAAACGAATTTTGGCTTAGTCGTAATTTAACATATTTTTTATAAACAGAGTTTGAAATGATTGATGATACTGAAAATGTTAATTCTATGGATGCACTTTTATATGTTATTCAGCAAATACTCTGTGTCTTTAATATCTAATAGTACTCTGTATAATAATATATAGTTCTTCTCATATTACTTTTTCTTGTTTCGACATTTGACACTGTGTATGATAAAATACTTACCAAAATTGTTAAGCATGTTTTGAACCGTATTTTATATTTCTATTTCTCTTTTTTAAATATTTATACTATCCATATACAATCATACCATTCTGGGAAGTAGATAACAGCGAAACACTGTAAAAATAGAATATGAAATCCATGACAGCGTAGTAGTGTTCATTCTTTTTTTCCAATTAAGGTGAAGTAGAGTCACACCTGCATTATACACCTAGGGAGACCATTGAACTATAAATCATTTATTCTTAGAGTTAGAAATCCAAAACAAATCTTTCTCTTTAGTTGAAGTTTTGATGATGTATTTTATTTTAAATTATTAACATATATCCCAAAAAATATCTCAAATTCTATAAAATTTAAATTTTCAAACTTATATTTGAGCGTCCGGATTGCACAAATACCCCAGCGCGTGGCCGCGGGCAGCCCAGTAGGCAAGCGAGACATCGACGTTTTGCTGCGCGCCGATTTAACAAAATAAATAATTTTAAAACTGCCGTCATTTCGTTAATAATTATCGTATCGTACTAATTTTTGCATAGAAATACTCATGAGTCTTTAGCGCTTCCGACAAGCCTAAATAACTGGATTATTTTTTATATTTTCGATTTGTTTACATTGCCCGAGCATATTATAATTTTGAGATAAAAATCATAGTCATCTCTTTATTAACGCAGCTCCGGTAGCTCTCGCAAAAAAAGCCGCATAATTCAAGTTTTTTTAAGACAATTTAAAACAATGCAATATTTAGAAAAAATAACTACATTATAACCAGGAGATATTGGCAATGATAATGTTCTTGTCATTTGATCAAAGTTCAGAATTTTTTTTTCTGTAAAAATAGCGCTAAAACTAAACCCAAAGCTGAACGTGCGATAAAAACGGCGAGCGTTGTACTGACCGTTTTTTTTTATTTATACTCGTTATTACTGCTGGCATAAACTGATAGACCTAAATTTTGAATATGTTGTAACTAAATGTATAACTAATTAAATGATAGTATTCATATGTCAGTTTAAAATTTATAACAGAAATTTTTATCTCAAAGTTATAATATGCTCGGGCAATATAAACAAATCGAAAATATAAAAAATAATCCAGTTATTTAGGCTTGTCGGAAGCGCTAAAGACTCATGAGTATTTCTATGCAAAAATCAGCACGATACGATAATTATTAACGAAATGACGGCAGTTTTAAAATTATTTATTTTGTGAAATCGGCGCGCAGCAAAGCGTCGATGTCTCGCCTGTCTACAGGGCTGCCCGCGGCCTCGCGCTAAGGTCGTTGTGCAATCCGGACGCTCATCTGTATAGTGTTTATGTTTGATTTGGGCCAATCATTATAATTCTATACATTTCATTGATATAGTCTGTAGAGTGATCGTTCAATGTTACGTCATCATTATTTATCTATATCCCCTTTAGGGTGTGTCTGAGATCAGTTCATATTGTTCAGAAACCGT